AAACAAAATGTTTACAATTACGAATAAATGCAATTGGTAAATTAATTTATATTTCTTTCCTTTTTTTTGGCAGAATTTAAGTACGACTGTTGCATCATATGTGAAGATAAAAATTATGTGAATAAACTGGTCTCTGATTTAAAAACACAAAGACCATACCTGAAATGTATGTACGAAGATATTTCGGGTTATGGAAAATTCGCTGCTAATAAGCTGAGCAAACCAATGAAGGAATCTAGAAAAGTTATCGTGATTTTTTCAAACAATTCTGAAACTGAAGAAACAGAGTATGCTGCATTTACGGTTATTGGTGATATGATAAGGAACAAACAACTTAATACATCAAAGTTAATACCAGTAAAGTTAACACAAGATGCTGTGATACCAGAGGAAATTGAAGGATTCGTATGTGCAAATGCCCTAGATGACAGTTTTCTTAACAGACTGTTAATAACATTAGATGGTAATTATCTGTTTTTTCTTTAAATTTATTTTATTTTCACTACTATAAAAAAAAAAAGTAATAAAATATAACATATAATCGATGAAGACTTTTTAAATTTAAAATCAAAAATTGCACTACATCATAAATCCCATGCTAATTGTTAAACTGATCATTTCGAAAATTTGTATTTCTATTAGCTATCAATATAAACCCTATTAAATGAATAAATAGGCACTCTATAATGCATGTATACATTAATACTAACAGATATAATAGTGATAAAAAAAATAATATCATTAATAATACTATTAATAGTAAATAATAGTAATAATAGTGTAATAATATAGTACAGTAGAATTTCTAATTTTGTATTCATCAATAAATTGATGATCCTCCACACCAAATACTGTAGTCATTAACACAAACATTATTAATCCACCAAAAATTGTAGGACTTTAGAATAAAAAATGTATTTGACAGACGTTTGACCGGCTAGTATTATATAATCACACTAAACAATATAAATATATAAATATAAATATATAAATATAAACCATAAACCATAACACGAAACTCCTTTATTAATTTTAACGTATCTGGCGTCCAAAATTTGAAATAAAACTAACTTTAAACTCTCAGAGTTCTAAACCATGCGCATTGTTGTACATTATTTTCAGCTTGCTGGATCTCGAATAAGATACTTGTACAATGCAATGTATAATACTGTATACATTTAAACGTAACAGAAGAGAATGACAGAAAAAAATAAATTTAGCCTCCCCAGGTACCTTTCGCATAAATGCCGCGAACGTCATAACAACTTAACCATGTATATGTATGTATGTATGTTCTGTATGGGTGTATGTGTGTGTGTATGTATGTGTATTGTGTATATGTGTATGTGTATGTATATATTCATGGTAGGTGAATCCCATGGGAATAGGAGTTCATTTTCCTTTATAGCCTGCCATCTCTATCTGAGAGTAAAACTAAATAAATAAATGTGCATGTATATATACGCATATATATATATATATATACATACATATATACATATATATATATATTTATATATACATACACACACACCCACCCCACACACACGCACACATACATATATACACACACATATACACATAAATATACAAATATATATATATATATACATACACATACATATATATAAACATATATATATATATATAAACATATAAACATATATACATATATATACATATATA